CATATACTGTGATGGACTTGCGACCTGTCCACCTTACCCTGCCCCTCGCACTGTGACTGCTGGATATGGGCACCAGTGACCCACGCGACCCTGAAAAGGAAGAAGCGTGTACAGAAAATGGATGGATGGATAAATGAATTACATTTTTCATAAAGTGTGGTTGCAAATATAAACTTTAGCTCATTCAATTTTCCACTGTCCTGTATTTAATGTTATAATATGGAATACATAGCTGATATTTATGATTAAAACTGACTCCTTCACAGAGAGAACCCTGTGAGGGTTTTGGAGGAAAAAATTTAGCAGATAAACCTTTGCTACAGTTTTGTTAAAAAAACATATTTTAGTTTTATTTAAATCCAAGAACTAAAACAGCACAAAAAGCCAATTATACAGAGACAGGCTGCACACTTTGACTGCGACTATTTAAAATTTTACACACCTGCACCAGTTAGTTGTTGCCTGTTACTGTTATAAAAGTCATTAGACTTGACTCTGCTTACCTGTGTAACCTGTCTTCTATAAGGATACCCTATTGTGGTGCATCTGGCTCCTCGACATCATTTCCTCATGACATCATTTCCTWTGTGACCTCATTTCCTCTGCTACCTCTTTACTGTGGCTGTGGCCTGAGCTCCTCCAAATGTTGGTGTAACAGAAAAGTATGTGAGGTGCAATGACATTTCAGTGGTGAGTTGTTTGCTTTAGTGTTTATGTTGGTGGCAATCATGTATTGTGTGTTTTAAGGGARTTAATCATTGCCACCAGCTGGAACTTCAAAGCATTAGCTGCTAATATAAGCTGCTGCTCATGCAAATTGTTTGGCCAATTACGATAAACCAATTAAGACCGTTAGTCATAATGCTTAAAGCTTATTGGACTTGTTTTACAAGTTTTCATTTAAAAATGGTAGATGTTTTGTATATAAAATCAGATCAAATTTAGCTACATTGATTGTTGTGCTAAACTTATTATTTTGATTTTCCTTCAGTATTTTCATTCACACATTCATGGTCTTATTCATTGAAACAAGGACTCGATACGAGGACATTTCTTCTGATTTATGTGACACAGCTGATTGAGTTTAAACAGGGACTATGATTTTAATTGAAATCAGTGAAATGAGGAGTTCAAGGGCAGCTAATTTTTATAATCCTTTATTTTACCAGGAAAGAAAACTCATTGAGAATAAAAATGTCATTTACAAAAGTGACCTGGTTAGTTAGTTGGTCTACACCAGGGGTACCATGGAGCTCATGGTACTTATTTTTACTCAGTTACATTTACTTACGTAACTATTAGGGGAAAATGTGCTTTTAGAAGTAGTTTTATTGCATCATACTTGCTTGCCCTGCTGGTTTGTTCATTATTTAGTTTGGTCTTCGTTCATTTATCTTTAGTTTTCTTGTCTTTAATGTGTCCTCTAGTTTCTCTCATGTTATTAGTCTGCCTCCCGGCTGTTTTTTTTTGTCTTCATGTTTACCAGTATCTCACTCACCTCATAATCCTCATGTGTTTCAACTGATCTGTCACTCAAACTCTTGATTTTTTTTACTGTTCAGCACCAGATTCCCGGGCCAAGAGCGAGCAGCGCTCCTTTTTTTCAGCCTGTGCAGTCTAGAGCTTTATGTAGAAAGGAGCTGTGGGAAATGCCAAACGCAGGCTGATAAAACACCTGTTTACACCAGAAAAAGTGCTGACCAGACCACTGAAAGCACTGTTAAAACGGCCTGCCATAAACATATGATGAGTTGTTTCACTAAGTGCTTTAGTGATTTTCTTCCACCAGCTGCTTCCAGTTGTTGTTTATCCTGCTGTAAGCATCTCTGTTAGCTTTCATTTAGCTAAAGTTTCCTTTAACAATGACTGAGCCCAACTCAACAAGGAGGAATTACTGCTAATGTTACAAAAAACTTTGATCGCTTCAAAGCGGAGTTCAACCAATCACGTATTCTCTACAGACAACGTCATGACGTACGCGTCAAACCCGACGACGGGCTGCAGGTCTTGAGAGCGACGCCATCTTGAAGAGGTCCTCTGAGAGACACAGGGCCATGTAAACAATGTGAAGTACTGACAAATAGTTTGTCAAGATGAGCCCAATTGTACATGCAGTGTAGTTTTTTTAAACTACAAACTTATAAAAGTAATCTCAGTGGGATTATATTATAATAATGTGGGATTTTTCTACATTATTTGAAATGTAGTTATACTCCATGGTCTTTATTTAAATTGTTGCCATGTTTCTATTAAACTGTAATGCAAATTTTGAGTTAACTTTTAAAATGTCACAAAAAAAGGAAAAAAAATCAATGCAAATCAGGCATGTTTCTATCTACTTTAACCAAGTGTAATTTTGTCAACGTCTGACATAATTAGTTTGTGTAGCCTGGATGATTCGCTCCAAACCAGCAGATAGAAACACGTCTGATTCACAAATCTTTTTCCTTTATGTAACATTTTAAAAGTTTGCTCAAAGGTCACAACTGCACAATCCTTGCACGTTAACGCTTTTTAGAAAATCCAAAAACCACCACAAGCAAGCGTAAAAACGTTTTTGCAAAATTGAGGAAGTTTATTTGAATTTAGCTGTTTACATCAACCTTTTCTAATACAATATTTCATAATGCACTTAAAAAACGTTGAAAATGCAGCTAATTTTATTTGAACTCTGACTCTTTCGTCTCTTTGATAATGACTCAAAAACATCTAATAAAACATCACATTTTCTTCTGTCTGTTGTCAGCTGTTGTAGCAAAGCTGTTTACGTTCAGTCATCTTTGTTATCATTTCCTGTTGCTGCACCTGCCATTATCTCAGCTCTTCATCTCAGCAGCATGTATTTTATTCTTTGCAATTCATGGTCAGTTGTTATTTTGAAAAATACTTTCAACTTTATTACACAAATTTGATGCCAGAGGCACTTTAAGAAATCATGTAGACAAACAAAAGTACATTGTGTCTTTAAAAATACAGTTTGAAAATATGAAGAATAAAACCCTCTAAATTTGTGCTCATATGAAGCACAAGAGGAGTTCTGAGCTGATTTCTGCAAATCAAAAAGTTTATAAACAATTGCTGATAGAACATGTTGCCATGATTGTTATAAAATATAAAAATAGCATATATAAATTAATCAACACATTATCCTTGTTTTTTTTTTTCTTATTCTTAACAGTAGCTGTGGTCCAACCAACGTTTCCTTGTAGTACCTCGTACCGAGGTAGCAAAGTGCTTTCTGAGTTTGATAAATACTGCAAACTCCTGCAGTAAAAGTCCCAACAGGGTCTTGGACCTTCAGACTTCTGTGACACGAATAAAAACCCTGTGGGTTCACAGGAGCCATCCGTCCACACAGATGGAAGAAAACACTCGTAAACAAACACGACTCTTTTAAAAACTACTGGGTCTTCTGTTTCTGTACGGCAGAACTTGTTCCAGAGAGGAAAGGAAGGATCTTCTCAAACAGCAGGATACAGCTGGCCATCCCTGCATACACACACACACACACACACACACACACACACACACACACACACACACACACACAGAAAGTAGTTTAACTGCCAACGGCCACATCTGCTACGAGTCCTGTTAGACCTGCAAGGTTAACTAGAGAAATTGCATTTCCTGCAAAAATGCTAGTGTGAATGCTTATTGCTGAAAACTTTAGCTGAAAGCTGCTGAAATGGAGCTGAAAATGTTTTATAGCAAAACTGTTAATGTCAGTTTCATTTAAGAGTTGAAAGAAGCACAAAAAGGCAGAAACTAGCAAGAAAAATAGAAGGAAGGAGCAGAATTATAGCTGAAAAAGCTAAAATTAGCATAAAATCAAGCTAAAGGTAGCAGACACAACTTAAATTAGCACCCAGATGGTGAAAGGGGTTTCAAAATGTAAAATTTAAAAAAAGGAAAGGAATAGAAGTACAAAAAAGTGACAATTTCATGTAAAATAGCTCAAACAGTAAAACAGCTAAAATGTACCTGGACGTTCTTTAATTAGCATAAGGAAGCATAAGGAGCACAGGTTTGCTGAACTAAGCAGAAAAAAGCTGAAATAGCCAATAAAATGTGAATTTGGCCTAAAAAAATAACTAGTTAATAACAGCTGAACATCATCTTAAATTGCAGCACATAGCTCCAAATATTTAAAATCTTTTTGAAGGATTTTAAGGATGCTGAAAACAGCTCTATTTATTTTCAATGGAAAAAAATGTGGCAGAAAAAGTGAAAAAGCACAAATACTATAAACAGCCAAAAGTCAGACAATAAATCTGAGTTTGTGGCTAAATAACAAAATCTATTGTTTAGAAAGAGAATGTGCATTCTGTACTGGTCTATTCTCTATTGAGATCACAGTAATTAGTAAAATTAATATTTCTAGATGAGCTGGTAAAGCCTGCTCTTTAAACAACCAGCCTGGTCTTTGAGCCTTACCTAAAACAGGTCCCAACCAGTAAATAAAACAGTACTCCAGGTAAGTGTGGCCGCTGCAGGGGAAGTGGATGGAGAAGGCCAGGACGGGGTTAAAAGCTGCTCCAGATATTCTTCCACCTGCACAAAAAAACGACAAAAATAAGCAGCGCTGTAGGGTCGGTATGGACAGGGCCACACCTAATGAATTAAAAATACAATTTTAACCGTTAAACATTCTGTAGTATACATAGGAGTTCGCACAAACGTCTTTAACTCGGTCGTATTTACAAGTATTGACCTGAAATTTGATGCATTTGTAGCTGAGATTGAGTCATAATCTGAGCGTGAGGTCCTTTATCATGTGCATAAAGTCATTTTAACCTAAACAGCTTTATCATGTCTCAGCATATGAGGAGTTCAGTTAAACGTCTGATATTAAAGGTGATAGAAACATGCATTCCTTCAAGAGTCTAATTTGTCTTTGTGTCCCTGTGATGGACTTCAGGCCTGTCCCACCGCCTCTGCTGGCCCACCATCTATTTTGCTACTCTTAAATAATTATATAATTTTACGTAATTGCATATTGTTTTGGCAATATTAGAACGTTTTGCTGATTTGTTGCTATTTTTATCTACAATTCTGCCACATTTAGATTTTAGCATTAATTTTGAACAAAATCAACTGTAGTTTCAGTGTTTGACCACAGGAGGGCGATGATAATTTTAAACATTCTTTTAATTTGCTTAAACAAAAAACAATCACTTGTACGAGCATGTTAATTTTAAATTAAATCTGTAGTTTCTGTGTTTGACCACAGGAGGATGATAATTTTAAACATTAAAGGAAAAAAAATTGTATAGGTCCTCTGGACGGGTTCTTCTTTAATGAAACGTTTCGTCTCTCTTCCAAGAGACTTCTTCAGTCTGAGAGTTTCAGGCAAAAAGTTTTGCCTGAAACTCTCAGACTGAAGAAGTCTCTTGGAAGAGAGATGAATTGTTTCATTAAATAAGAACCCGTCCAGAGGACCTATACAATTTTTTTTCCCTTTGATTTTTTACCTGGATTACTGAGATGCATCAGGACAATTATCAGAAGAGTTGTCCAAGAGCCAAGGACCACTTGTGGAGAGCTTCAGAAAGACCTGGAATTAGCAGGTAC